TGTCCAGGGTAGCTATAACTAGTAACTATTAGTTGTTGTTGGGTCTTAAGAGATTTGTATTGTATAGTTATATGTTTCTCAGGTGGCTTCGCTAGTGAAGGCTACTCCTCCTGCACCGACAATTTTGAATGATCCGTAGCCAGCAGTTTGAACGACTTGAATAAATTTCGTGAACTGACTAGGTCAGACGCGTCCTTTAGATTTAATATGTTCCTCAGTTGGACATCTAGCATGCAAAAAAGATTTTCCAGTACCGTTGTGTTTGTGTTTCAGAGGAGCAAATGAAGTGCCGAACCGTGGTACAGATAGTTACAGGTAACTTTTGATGATTAACTAGTTCATTGCTCTAAATAATATCCGTCTCCAAATCTCCACCTCTCGTTGCACGATATTTAACAGTTCTTCAGTTATCCAGATGTAAATTACATTAATCTATACCCTCTTGGTTATCATCTCGGACAGTCATCCTACAATTCAATAGGGGACAGTTGAATACTTCGCCCACCCGTCTGTCTACACAACAACAACAACAACAAAAGTAAATAAATAAATAAAAAAAAATAAAAATAAAAATAAAGGTGAAATGACAAAAGCGACCCTTTCATCCATGCTCTCGAGCGCTCTAGCTTCTATAACTCTAAACACGGGACAAGGGAGTGCAACTCAACTGAGCCAGCAGAAGGCAGAACGCCCCTCACAGATCAAATTTGTGCGAGCAGCACAGATGAGCCTTTTTGCAGATATTACCAGCTGGCCGCCCTTGGGCCAGGTTACATGTCTGAAAAGGAGTGGAGATCAAGATAAGGTATGGCGGATAGTGTTATCTTGAGCAGACTTCTTTCTCAGCCTCTTCCGTAATATGACATTTTATTTCATAACTTGCAATTGCTTGCTTTAAATTACAAGGTTTTTATCTAGTTGTCTCTTTGCCGAGATGCAGACGTTAAACGCCATATATTAACTATAGTTGCTAATACTTCATAGCTCCTCTTTACCGTCCAACTCAAGTCAAGCCGCTCGTTTCCTGAGCAGACCTGGGAGGTTTCCATCTGGCATAATGTTAACAATAACGATTCATGGGAAGCACTTCCCTTGCAAAAGAGTTCGACGTCACAAACTATTCCCATGGCAATGGGCCCTGGACCAGGGCCAAACTATCACACCTACACATTTTCCCAGGAACTTGACTTCCCGAAACAGGGTAAGCATGCCGCTTTTACTATTAGATATAGAATCGATGCAGAGTCTTCGTGGACATGGGTGAAGGATCAATTTGGGACGAAAGATGGCGAATTGGTTTTTGAACCTTTCAGCTCTCAACTTCGCAAGAGCCTTGAGCCCGTGGTCCAGGAGTCAAAGTTGACTGAATATTTGGATCATATTAATCCGAAGCTCGAGATTGAGACACGCTCTAGCGAGTCCCCCGGGGCACTTTTGTGGAGCGTGACAGGCACTATCCTATCCGCGATTGATAACCAGAGCACTCACGAGAAAATAAATTTCGCACTCCCGAAGGATTTCGTCAGATATTTTGCTCTTGTCCGTATATGGGAACCTTGGATTGCACCACGACACGGCATGAATAACCTGGCTTTGACAGAGGACGCTATTTTTCTGTCATTTTTGCGCAAAGATGGAACGCACCTCGTTCTCCTTGCTATCAGTGGGGTGGATAACGTCATGACTCTATTTAATTCCGGAGACAAAGGCCAGATTGTGGCGGTTGTGAGGAATGACAGTTTCCACAACTCCAACTTTCAGGTTCTAGTTGCGGTGGCACCTTCTTTCGAGGTCGCGAAAAGCGCTGTAATGTATGAGTCCCGAAAAGTCGTGAGACAGATTTCTGGAACTAGGTCCGCAACTTCAACTACGCCGCAGGAGCTGAATGAGCCGAAATCACCGTTGGATAGTGATATTGTTCTCGTGGAGGATGACCCTCAGGTTCAATGGATGTCTGATTGGTATGACGGCTTAGCTTATTGTACTTGGAATGCTCTAGGACAGGACTTGACAGAGGAAAAAATATTAAAAGCCCTCGATATTCTAAAAGCAAATGGCATCAATATTGTCAACCTCATCATAGATGATAATTGGCAGGCATTGGACAGAAAGGGCGAGGTTCAGTTTAAACGTGGCTGGATGGAATTCGAAGCGAATAAGGAAGGGTTCCCAAATGGGTTGAAGCATACAACCAGTAAAATACGCCAAAAGCACACACATATCCAGCATATTGCCGTTTGGCATGCCCTTCTCGGATATTGGGGTGGTATCTCACCTGACGGTCAGATAGCAAAAACGTATAAAACAAAGATCGTCAAAAAGGTTGATGGCGTTGCCGGTGGGAGTATGCTGGTTGTCGACCCGGATGATATTTACCGGTTCTATGACGAT